GCTGATGATTTTTGAGTGGGGTGATTTTTAGGTAATTAAAGTGCAGTGACATCATGTTTACGATGCCAGGCAGTTTACGACAATGGCAACAAAGCCAACAATGTAGTCTCGTCACAAACGCTGTTGACATAGAATGCCTCAATTGTTACTGCACATATGTCGGCAATACCACCTGGTAACAGTAATCCAATCTATATTCTCACGTTGCCATAAAAGGCCTTGTTAGTATTGCTACAACAATGCTAACAAGTGTCTACTATTCAAGGCGAACAATGTCTACAATATCGCCAGTCAACGTGTCCTTTCCATGTCTACAATATCTCCTCTCAACGTGTTCCCTTGCCATGTCTACAATATCTCCTGTCAACATGTCCTTTACATGTCAACAATATCCCCTGTCAATGTGTTCCCTTGCCATGTCAAAAATATCTCCTGTCAACGTGTCCTTTCCATGCCAACAATATCCCCTGTCAACGTGTCCTTTACATGTCAACAATATCCCCTGTCAATGTGTTCCCTTGCCATGTCAACAATATCTCCTGTCAACGCGTTCCCTTGCCATGTCAACAATATCTCCTGTCAACGTGTTCCCTTACCATGTCAACAATATCTCCTGTCAACGTGTTCCCTTGCCATGTCAACAATATCTCCTGTCAACGTGTCCTTTACATGTCAACAATATCTCCTGTCAACGTGTCCTTAACATGTCAACAATATCTCCTGTCAACGTGTCCTTAACATGTCAACAATATCTCCTGTCAACGTGTCCTTAACATGTCAACAATATCCCCTGTCAACGTGTCCTTAACATGTCAACAATATCTCCTGTCAACGTGTCCTTACCAATGATCATCTGTCAGATTAATTTAACGCGTTAATACACTCAGTCTAGTATCTTTTAAAATTATAACGTAACAACTTATAAAGAAATAATATATGTATAATTATATAGTTTTAATATTATTATAAGTGTAACTTCTTGTGCATCATAATAGCTTGTGTGGCAATGCGGTAATTTCATTTATATTGGACAAATGATCATTTTTGCCGGCATATGGGTGGCCAACTAAGGAGAGACTGAAATAAAAAAAAGCGAATTTAACCGATTCCGAAGACAAACCTCGATAATATCAAAAGGAAATCGAGCGTATCATTTATTTCACAAATTTAAAATGCTAAAATGATATACCAACAGGCAAACAACATCGGAACAATTTTTAACCAACATTAATTCAACGTCAAAACGTTGAATCAACGTTGATAAAGATGAATCCTGATGTACGTTATACATGATGAAGACGTGAGTTCTCGAGAGCAGCTGCGCGCTGCTTTCTTGCTGGCGGTCGCCACTTTCACTTTCCCTGCCGCCGCTACACCGCAACTCGCGGTGTAGCGAGTTCTATACATTAATAATGTATAGAACTTATTATTAGTTTAAATAGGTTATATTCTAGAATTGATAAGTTATATATATTTTATTTTAATTGTTATATCTGCAGGAGCGGCGTCGTGTGGCCGCGACTACCTGCAGGCGCTGAGGACAGTCGGGGGCACCGCCTGCGACGCGCCTGCTGCAGCTGACGTCGGTGAGCGCTAATGAGATGTGCACTAATGAGATGTGCACTAATGAGATGTGACCTCATGAGATGTGAACTAATGAGATGTGCACTGACGAGATGTGAACTAATGAGATGTGTACTAATGAGATGTGCACTAATGAGATGTGCACTAATGAGATGTGCACTAATGAGATGTGCACTGATGAGATGTGCACTGATGAGATATGCACCAATGAGATGTGCACTAATGAGATGTGCGCTAATGAGATGTGCTCTAATGAGATGTGCGCTAATGAGATGACTGATGAGATGTGAACTAATGAGATGTGCACTAATGAGATGTGAACTAATGAGATGTGCACTGATGAGATGTGCACTGATGAGATGTGCACTAATGAGATGTGCACTAATGAGATGACTGATGAGATGTGCACTAATGAGATGTGCACTAATGAGATGTGAACTAATGAGATGTGCACTGATGAGATGTGCACTGATGAGATGTGCACTAATGAGATGTGCACTAATGAGATGTGAACTAATGAGATGTGAACTAATGAGATGTGAACTAATGAGGTGTGCACTAACGAGATGTGCACCGATGAGATGTGCACTAGCGAGATGTGCATTAATGAGATGTGAACTAATGAGATATGCACTAATGAGATGTGCACTAATGAGATGTGCACTAATGAGATGTGCACTAATGAGATGTGCACTAATGAGATGTGCACTAGTGAGATGTGCAGTAATAAGATGTGCAGTAATGAGATGTGCGGTAATGAAATGTGAACTAATGGGGTGTGCAGTAATGACATGTGCACAAATGATGTCTGCAGTAATGAGATGTGCAGCAATGAAATGTGAACTAATGGGGTGTGCACTAATGAGATGTGCACTGATGAGATGTGCACTGATGAGATGTGCACTAATGAGATGAGCACGGATGAGATATGCACTAATGAGATGTGCAGTAATGAGATGCGCACTAACGAGATGTGCACTAATGAGATGTGCACTGATGAGATGTGCAGCAATGAGATGAGCACTAATGAGATGTGCACTGATGAGATGTGCAGCAATGAGGTGTTCACTAATGAGATGTGCACTGATGAGTTGTGCGCTAATGAGATGTGCACTGATGAGATGTGCACTTATGAGATGTGCAGCAATGAGGTGTTCACTAATGAGATGTGCACTAATGAGATGTGCACTGATGAGATGCGCAGCAATGAGATGTGCACTGATGAGATGTGCAGCAATGAAATGTGCACTAATGAGATGTGCAGCAATGAAATGTGCACTGATGAGATGCGCAGCAATGAAATGTGCACTGATGAGATGCGCAGCAATGAAATGTGCACTAATGAGATGCGCAGCAATGAAATGTGCACTGATGAGATGCGCAGCAATGAAATGTGCACTTATGAGATGCGCAGCAATGAGATGTGCACTGATGAGATGCGCAGCAATGAAATGTGCACTGATGAGATGCGCAGCAATGAGATGTGCACTGATGAGATGTGCAGCAATGAAATGTGCACTTATGAGATGTGCAGCAATGAGATGTGCACTGATGAGATGCGCAGCAATGAAATGTGCACTTATGAGATGCGCAGCAATGAGATGTGCACTGATGAGATGTGCAGCAATGAGATGTGCACTGATGAGATGTGCAGCAATGAGATGTGCATGGATCAGATGTGCACTAATGAGATGTGCACTAATGAGAAGTGCACTAATGAGATGTGCACTAATGAGATATGCACTTTTGAGAAATAAATTAATGAGAAGTGCACTAATGAGATGTGCACTAACGAAAAGCGCGCTAATGAGAAGTGCACTAATGAGATGTGCACTAATGAGATGTGCACTAATTAGATGTTCAATAATGAGGTGAGCATCACCCTAATGAGATGCGCACCAATGAGACATGCACTAATGAAATGAGCATCGCACTAATGGGATGTGCACTTATGAGACGTGTTCTAATGAGATGTGCGTCAATAAGATGTGCACTAGTGAGATGTGTACTAATGAGATATGCGCCAATGAGGTATGCACTAGTGAGATGTGCACTAATGACATGTGCTTTAATGATATATGCACTAATGAGATGTGCACTAATGAGATTATCATTCCACTAACGAGATGTACACTAATGAAATTTGCACTACTGACAAGATGTACACCAATGAGAAAAGATGTAGACTGAAGAGGTTGGTACTAATGAGACAGGTACTAATGAGATGTGCACTATTGAGATGGTCTCACACCAGTCGACGGTCGTAAGTTCGTACATACGTCGGTCGTAAGTTCGTACATACGACGGTCGTAAGTTCGTACATACGACGGTCGTAAGTTCGTACATACGTCGGTCGTAGGTTCGTACATACGTCGGTCGTAAGTTCGTACATACGACGATTGTAAGTTCGTACGTACGTCCGTCTTACTATGGCTTCTCCCACAGGCGCGTGTCTGCTGCAGCTGCACGACGTCCACGCGCAGCTGCACGACTTGCAGCTGACAGCTGTGAGTTACATCTGTAGCCCGTTACATCTGTAGCCCGTTACAGCTGTAGCCCGTTACATCTGTAGCCCGTTACATCATCCCGCACCCAAACATTCCAGATATTTCCGTATTCACCATAGGAGTCAGGAAACTTCTTTCTGGTCTAAACCCCAGGAAAGCCGCCGGCCCGGACAAAATCCCATGTCGACTTCTCAGAGAGACGGCCGATGAGCTAGCACCCGCACTGACGCCTCTCTTTAACAGATCGCTGTCCACAGGAGTCGTCCCTGCTATCTGGAAGCATGCCCTGGTGCAGCCAGTATTCAAGATAGGAGACCGTAGTCAGGCGGCCAATTGCAGGCCCATTTCTTTGACCTGCGTGTGCTGTAAGCTCCTAGAGCAAATCATCAGATCGGAGATCACGGACCACCTCGACCGCAACAGCATTCTCAGCGATGCGCAACATGGCTTCCGGAAGAGGAGGTCCTGTGTAACCCAGCTGATCCTGACGGTGGATGATCTTGCAGCGGAGGTCGACAGGGGTGGTCAGACCAACATGATCCTGCTCGATTTTTCCAAGGCTTTTGATAAGGTCCCTCATCAGCGCTTACTCACCAAGCTGGACTATTATGGTATCAGGAGCATGACCAAGAGATGGATTTCCAGCTTCCTCTCAGACCGCACCCAGCAAGTCGTTGTAGAAGGTGAGAGCTCCAGCATCAGGTTAGTCGTGTCAGGAGTGCCTCAAGGTTCCGTCTGGGGCCTACCCTTTTCTTGATCTATATCAACGACCTATGTGACGGAATCCAAGCCAAGGTTGGACTCTTTGCAGACGACACCGTCCTTTACTCTCGCATCAGAAGCCCACATGACGTTGCTCTCCTGCAGGATGACCTCAACAAGCTGGATGCCAGGGAGCGCACTTGACAGATGGAGTTCAACGTCGAGAAGTGCCACCTCCTCTCAGTAACAAGGAAGAGGTCCCCGATACCCTCCAGCTATACCCTGCATGGCCAAACACTGGAATCCGTCAGGGACGCCAAGCAACTCGGTGTTACCATCACCAGCAACCTGCATTGGGGGAACCATGTGTGGTCTGTCGCTGCAAAGGCCACGACGATAAGCGCTTTCACCCATCGAAATCTTACAGGATGCACCACAAACGTCCAGACCCACTGCTATAAGAGCATGGTCCGACCGATTCTGAAATACGCATCGTCCGTGTGGGACCCGCACCAGCAGGGTCTTGTGTCCACGCTAGAGGCAGTCCAACGCAGATCCTCAAGACGTATCCTTGGGGACTTCGGCCCACACTCAAGCGCTTCATCGATGGTGTCAAAATTAGGCCTCGAGCAACTCGTGCGGAGAAGAGTAGCGGGCAGAGCCTGCATGATGTATAAAATCATGCATAAGCTGGTGGACATGAACGTCCCACCTGGTAGGCTTCAGCCTGCTGTCAGAATCACCAGAGGTCATCATCAGAAGCTCATAGTGCCGCATGCAAGAACTGATGTATACCGCCAGTCATTCTTCCCTTCCGGTACTAGACTGTGAAACTCCCTCACCCAGGAGACCGTGGCAGCTCCTGACCTGACTGCCTTCAAGGCAGCTGTGAAGGCCTGGCAACAGCGGCAGGGACAGGAGCCAGTGCTTATTTAATCTTAAACCTTTTACTCTGTTCTTATGAATCGAATGCCCTATCTCATATACGTATGTGCCAATGTATGTGTGTCTGTGTATGTGTATGTATGAATATGCATGTATGATCGTATATATAATTTTTTTAATTCAATGTGGAGCTTTTCCTCGAGCCATCGGGGTAACCACTTTTTTCAATAAATAAATAAATCTGTAGCCCTTTACATCTGTAGCCCGTTACATCTGTAGCCCGTTACATCTGTAGCCCGTTACATCTATAGCCCGTTACATCTGTAGCCCGTTACATCTGTAGCCCGTTACTTCTGTAGCCCGTTACATCTGTAGCCCGTTACATCTGTAGCCCGTTACATCTGTAGCCCGTTACATCTATAGCCCGTTACATCTGTAGCCCGTTACACCTGTAGCCCATTACATCTGTAGCCCGTTACACCTGTAGCCCATTACATCTGTAGCCCGTTACACCTGCAGCCCATTACATCTGTAGCCCGTTATACCTGAAGCCCATTACATCTGTAGCCCGTTATACCTGAAGCCCATTACATCTGTAGCCCGTTATACCTGAAGCCCATTACATCTGTAGCCCGTTATACCTGAAGCCCATTACATCTGTAGCCCGTTATACCTGAAGCCCATTACATCTGTAGCCCGTTATACCTGAAGCCCATTACATCTGTAGCCCGTTATACCTGAAGCCCATTACATCTGTAGCCCGTTATACCTGAAGCCCATTACATCTGTAGCCCGTTATACCTGAAGCCCATTACATCTGTAGCCCGTTATACCTGAAGCCCATTACATCTGTAGCCCGTTATACCTGAAGCCCATTACATCTGTAGCCCGTTATACCTGAAGCCCATTACATCTGTAGCCCGTTATACCTGAAGCCCATTACATCTGTAGCCCGTTATACCTGAAGCCCATTACATCTGTAGCCCGTTATACCTGAAGCCCATTACATCTGTAGCCCGTTATACCTGAAGCCCATTACATCTGTAGCCCGTTATACCTGAAGCCCATTACATCTGTAGCCCGTTATACCTGAAGCCCATTACATCTGTAGCCCGTTATACCTGAAGCCCATTACATCTGTAGCCCGTTATACCTGAAGCCCATTACATCTGTAGCCCGTTATACCTGAAGCCCATTACATCTGTAGCCCGTTATACCTGAAGCCCATTACATCTGTAGCCCGTTATACCTGAAGCCCATTACATCTGTAGCCCGTTATACCTGAAGCCCATTACATCTGTAGCCCGTTATACCTGAAGCCCATTACATCTGTAGCCCGTTATACCTGAANGAATGTGAAGCAAGCGGTGGTGAATGAGTGAATGTGAAGCAAGCGGTGGAGAATGTGTGAATGTGAAGCAAGCGGCGGTGAATGAGTGAATGTGAAGCAAACGGCGGTGAATGCGCGATTGAAATGTTCCTATTTGTGTTCTCCCGTTCACGCAAGTTCTACGCGGTTCTCACACAGGCACAACACAAGCAGTTCAGCGGTGCACACAAGCGGTTCAGGGCAGCGCGGGACAAGGCCGACGCCGCGGTTCGCAGAACCGCTAAGAAGGGACGCCTGCGAACCGCGCCTGATGAGAACCACGCCAGGGTGAGTCATCGGCGCCCCATCGGCGGCCACGGCCATTAAAGAGATTAAAATTGGGGAAAAGAAATCAGAATGTTTAAATTCTTCGAGCAATACAATTTTAAAAATACAATATCACAATACTTTGGTGCTGCCATAGCAATATCTGCTTATATCGTATAGATTTGTAATATATTATGTATGGTGGATTTAAATGCCAGATAATATTAAGACAATTAAAAATCAAATATGGCAGATACTGAATAATAATAGAATATTGGAATAATTATTTAGTAAATACAATGTTGTTAAAAGTGTGACCGTTGCTTATGCAGCTGCAGGAGGCGCTGCAGGAGAGCGAGGCGCAGCTCACCGCCTTCCTGACGCAGAGCCTGCGCGAGGTGAGGGCGCTTTGTGTGTCACGGTTTGTGTTAGTTCTCTTTATATTATCTTAATATAATCATAAATAATTGTAATCAATATAATCTGATTAAATAGTCTGAAAAACAAAATTTAGGTTTGGAAGAAATTTAAAGCTTCTCCTGTAGGCGGCGCAGCAGCAGCGACGACGCCTGGGCTTCGTGCTGGAGCGGCAGTGCAGCGTCGACCGACACCTCCATGCGCTCCACGCGGCAGGTGCCGCCCTACTGACGGAGGCGCTGAAGACGAGCACAGCCGTGGCGTCCACGCGCCACCTGCTCCCCCCCACCTCCCCTCACTGCTGCGACAACCCCGCCCCTCCTTCATGCTGTGACCCCCCCGCCTGTTGCGACTCTGAGATGAGGGTGGGTCCTGGGGGACAGGGAGGGGACGGGGCCTCGCCCCCCGATATGAGGGTGGGTCCTGGGGGACAGGGAGGGGACGGGGCCTCGCCCCCGAGATGAGGGTGGGTCCTAGGGGACAGGGAGGGGACGGGGCCTTGCCCCCCGAGATGAGGGTGGGTCCTGGGGGACAGGGAGGGTAAAGTGATGATGGGTGTGGGTGCAATTGAGAGCTGAAAGACAAAAAAAGATTGAGATACAAAATTTTTCTCTATATAGTCATTGTATTTGCATTCAAATATCCTCTATGAATACAGTTTGTTGTTGTAATGAATGCTGTAATGCTTTGAAATTTTAAATACTTTTCCTTCAAACGAACAGTAGAACGTGTAGACTGGACCTCAGTTCATACGTCGTTATATTTATTTACCGTAGCTTATGCTCAAAATACGCAACCGGGTAATTTTCTATGATGCATAATTTTTTCAATTTCGATGGAATACTCCTTTAATCTTTATTAACGAGCTTAACAACCTTGACAGTTGACGATTTGAGAAAAATAAATATAATCGTTCAAAAATTATCTTGATCTGACTTGATAGATCTGGTAGATTATTAATTGAAGGCGTGATGGATTCATGGTAAGTATTTTGAAATTGAATTATGCCTACAATTATACAACATTATTTTCTAAGAAAATTTATGAATGCGTCGTGAATCGTGATGGCATGGCATGCAGCGTTTCATCACTGTGACGTAATTGCATGTAGTGTTTCATAATTGCATAATAATTGCATCATTTTATATGAAGTGTATCATCAATGCATCGTGATTGCACACGGTGTTGTATGAGTTTGTGATGATTGAATTAAGAGGCTAATGATTGCCTGGTGATTGCATGAGGAGGTCAACGATTGCCTTGTGGTTGCATGCATAAGAATTGCTGCAGTGCTCCACGATTGCCTTGTAATTGCATGCAGCGCTTTACGATTGCGTGGTGATTGCATTCAGTGCTTCACGATTACGTGGTGATTGCATGCAGGGCTTCAGGATTGCCTTGAGCTTGTGGTTGCATTAACTGGTCCACGATTGCGCTGTGATTGCGAGCAGGAGGACCCGGAGGCAATCTACGCGACGCCATCGCTTGAGCTGTGTGAGCTGCAGAACAGATTGCAGCGCTCGCAATCCCTGGACGAGGCGGGGGGCGACGGGCGACGTGACAGCGACATGGGCGCCGCCGCCCCCTACAGCGGTGAAGGTGCTTGCGCTGGGGGTGTCAGGCGGCAATATTAAGCGTCACCTGACTGAATATTTATTTATACCTGAACCTGAGGGCAGGTAGCAATATACTGTATATATTGCTTGTATATTGTTACCTGAACCTGAGGGCAGGGATTCGTTGACTAAATAAAGATACGGATAAGAAAGTGTTCGAGGGATAAATAATACACCATCTAGAGAACTGATCTTGATACGGGGTTGTAATACATGAGAGATACGATAAAGGTATAGGCTAAAATATCGAGCGTTAGGCCGGAGTAGCTCTAGCGCGAGTTCCATTGCGGCGCACTTGTCAGCTTCCGGGGAGCCTAACTAAAGTTCCCAGCCCTTTTATAGATCACGGCTGCCGCCCACTACTGCGTGATGTCTTGTTCGCATGATCTGTCACGTGATGTTGTCCATGCTGACTCGGGTCTAATACTTTACCATCGAACTTTACTACGTCTAGTTAATATTACGTCTCAATTATAGATGAATTAATCTTAGAATATAATTATAATGAATAGAATGAGACGCCTGATTGACACCGGACACGAGAAAAGAGATGGGAAGCTAGCAATCGCTTTATCTACCGCAAGATTATCGGTTGTTCAAGGGAGGAAAAGTGAAATAAGTTGTAGGGTTTCAAAGTGATTCGTTGTGGAATAAAGGGAGTTTGGTCCGTACAAAAGTCATCAGTTGTAAGGAGGTAAATAATGTAAACATTTGATCTTTATAGAATATACGTAAAATGGCTAGAGTTCGGTCCTGTTCACGAATGAGACCCTAAAAATGTTTCGTTTTTTTTTAATTTGTAGGTTTATTCGTGAAAGCTGTTATATTTATTTCTCTTAATTGTTAATTTTATATGAATTATTGCCTGCACAGATGGTGGTGATGACGCAGGTGGTGGAGGGCAGCTGGTGCGCGCCGTGTACAGCTACAGGGCCGCCGCCGGCACGCAGCTCAACTTCCAGGCGGGCGACACAATCCTGCTAATCGGTGAGATAATCGGGGTGATTAGGGGTGGCGGGGTGATTAGGGGTGGCGGGGTGGTGATTAGGGGCAGCTGAGTGATTAGGAGCAGCGTGGTGATCAAGGGTAGCGGGGTGATTAGGGGTAGCGGGGTGATTAAGAGTGAGATAATCGGGCGCATTACGTGGCCACTGTAGGGCAGTGGTAGCGGCACAGAAATGAAAAGAACCAGCCGTGGGTTCTAGCCTTGAGAAGCTCAGTTCATTTCTGTGTGCTGCTTGTGGGCGGGGCTGATCATGGTTGAACTAGTATTAGGTTGACCCATCAGAAGCCAATTTTAACACGTTTTTCTTAGCTTAGCTTCGCGTTTGTTTGTTTGTTGTTAACATTGACAACCAAAATTAGCCCACTTCTGATTGTTCTAGAGATCTGAAATTCGGCATGCAGGCTATTTTCGCCTAACAATTTCAGATACAATAATAAAAACTAGCAATTAGAGACCGAAATTAGTTTAATTGAGTAAAGTATATATATAGTATATATATAGTATGACGTGCGGGCGCTAACGCTGCGTATCATCGATACGTACGTCAAGTCATACTTAATCATGTCTTAATCATTTTTTTGCGGATGTAGTGCGTTGTTCGCTGTAGTTCGTTGTTCGCTGTAGTTCGTTGTTCGCGTTACTGATCTCAGTGACGTCACGGGCATTGACCATTCACCGAAGTGCGATCAAACCAGTCAACCAATCCGTCATGGGAACGACGGGTTTGTTTACGTTTCTCGATCTCAGTGATATAATAAGAAAGCTGAACTGAAAGACGGAAATCATCGTGGGTCAACCTTATATAGTTCAACCATGAGCGACGCTTGATCGCCGTCAGAGGTGGTGCTTGCAGCATGGCCTTGTGTTGAGGTTCCCAAACAAACTCTGGGTGCCTGCTACCTGGAGGGATCTTAATTAAGGTACTGCGCGTACGACAATAACATAGATAACAATAGAGATAATATTATAGATAACAATAGAGATAATATCACAGGCAAAGAATTGTGAGTTTTGCCCCTCCCCACAGGTGGGCGCAGTGAGGGGTGGCAGTATGGGGAGCGCTGCGGGGGCGACGGGGGGCGGGGGTGGTTCCCCGCCGCCTACACGGTTCCCCTCCCCCGCCACCAGCCCCCCGACCCGGGGTGAGTTGGGGTGATTACCGTGTGGCAGATAGGGTGATGAACTTCCCCTAGTCCATAGTGAAGTTACCCTAGCCTCTCCCTAGACTCTAGTGAACTTGCCCTAGCCTATTCTAGACTCTAGTGAACTTGCCCTAGCCTCCCCATAGTCCCTAGTGAACTTACCCTAGCCTCTCCCTAGACTCTAGAGCTAGCCTGCTGTTCCTAGCGAGTAGTAAACCGCTGAGTGGTGCACATCTGTTTTACTTGTATTACTGTGTCAGTTAATATGTGTTGTATAAAAGGCTTGTATTGCTAGTAAACAAACTAGTGCTTTGATTTGTCCCCTAGTAGCGCAGCCTGCCAACCTCTGCCAGTAGCTGACATCTGGCACGCCACTGACACTAGTGACAGCACCTCTACAGGCACTGTCACTTCTACTGACACAGTGAGTAGTGACACGGTGAGTAGTGACACGGTGAGTAGTGACGCAGTGAGTCTGTATGTGTTATATCTTTATTTTTAACTTTAAAAAGTAGGCTTTAATATATAACTATTCTTTCAATGGTAAAGTAATTTCTTTGGGAAACACAATTAAATCATTATGGGAATGATCAGGGCAGGATGATATGTATGTTTGCATGTAATAGTTTAAATGATCAATTGTGAACTTAATGTGGCAGGTTCGAGCGGCAGATGCCACCGACGCTGCCACACATCTCATCCACCCGCCATCCCGCCACCTACACGCCACCTCCCGCCACCTGAACCAGTCCATTTCCAACCGAAACCCCTTCTCCCACCACCCAATATCTTCCTCTCGCGATCGATCTAATTTTAATGAAAGAATTCGTTCAAATAATTCAAAAAATCCCCACACTGCCCCCGACCCACCTCCCCCTTACTCAGAACTCAACTCAAACCCCCGCCACAACCCCAACCCCAACCCCAACCCCAACCCCAACCCTAACAGCAGCAGCAAGAAACCAGGAGGCTTCCAGGACCTCTACAACCCCGATTTTCTGACAAATTTCCCATCCAACCCCGGAGACTCAACCCTGAGTTTGTCTGCCAGTGGAGTCAGCGGCTCTATCAGTGGGTCTGTCAGTGACAGGAGTGTGTCACTGAGTTGCTTCCTCCCCTCGACGGCCTCCCCGACCTCTGAATCCCCACTCAGGGGGTCGTTCCACTCGAGCAACGACAGCGGCTTCAGCAACGACGTATTCCACCCTACACAAACCACCGCTGCACACTGCCCCGCTCACACAAGGTGGGTCGGTGCTATAAGTGTGTCAACTGCACGGCCTTTGAGGTGGGCTACCAGCATGTCACTTCAAGTGGGTTAGCAGCGTAGCACACCAGGAGGGATATCAGCTCTGAACTTCAAGCTAAGTACTCTACAAGGTGGGCTATCAATTCGGTACTCTCGTAGGTGACGCTCACAAATCGCCCCACGTCCTCTGAGTAAGTTCTAGACGAACTGGTAAACGGTCTCACTAATCTGCGGCCTTCGTCGTCCGCAGTACTTCAGCCTTCAGGAGGCAGGTCTTCCTCCCTCCAGGGCAATGAATAGTGTTGGAACCTTTCTACCGTGCATCGGTTCTCAGTTGGGCCAGCTGATGCCCTCAGAAGGGCCAACTGATTCCTTCAGTTGAGCCAGATAAAGCCCTCAACTGGGCCAATCGATTCCTTCAGTCGGGCCAGCTGATGCCCTCAGTGTAGCCAGCTGAAGCTTTCAGTTGGGCCAGCTGATGCTCTCAGTTGGGCCTGCTGATGCCCTCAGAAGGGCCAACTGATTCCTTCAGTTGAGCCAGCTGAGGCCCTCAAATGGGCCAATCAATTTATTCAGTCGGGCCAGCCAATGCCCTCAGAAGGGCCAGCCGATGCCCTCAGTTGGGCCAGCTGATTCACAATGCTTTTGGTTGCTTCTTTCCGATGGCCAAGATGCAGAGGTGGACGATCGGGGATTGTGCTCAGGAACGCATCCAGTATCGTGAAGGTCTCTAGGGTGATCTACCCTCCTTTCAAGTCAATGTGTTGAACAAACTGTTCAATGATGTTCCAAGATCGTTGCTGTGTGTCAGTTAGGAGAAGCATTTTCATTCATTTGATTGATTACTATAAAGTCAGTCGAATATTTTTCGCAATTAAATCATGCTCTTCATTTCTTACAGAACTTGGGCGCAGGAGGAACCTTTTCTGAGGCCCACGAACTCTCGTAGAAGACCAAGGATTCTTCCTGTAGGTGGTCGATCCTACAGCTTAGGACGTTGCGAGGACCTCTTCTTCCACCTTCGGGAGAACTCAAGCTGCAGAGGCACCCGTTGCATATGCAACAACCATAACAACCTCAGTAACGACAACTACCACAACCAAAAAGACAACCAAATGTTGTCACCTAGCGCTCGACGCATCCTCGCACATCGGGATGCGTCCAAGAAAAGTCAATCTCTAGCCCTAAAGGATAAACAAGAACTCCTGCGGAAAAATAACCCCAGCATTAAGAAAGGTAAAGCGTCTTTGAAACGCAGCAAGTCCCTCCTCTGCCTTGGGATTGACTCTTGCAGCAGTGGCCTTCAGGATGATATTCTGTCCAACGACTATGAGGAGGTTAACTTGGATGGCGGAGTTGCTGTCGAATGGCGTAACCGAATGAGAATGGTCTATCCAAGCACTAGATGCTGTAACAATATGTCGAATACCGATGCGAAAGCCAAATGGAACAACCTAATACCATCTACCGGTGCGATGGCTAACAACAACAACATGTCAACCACTGATGCGAAGATCGACTGGTACAACGGAATTGCAACCACCGATGTCGATGTTAACCGGTTCAGTCGAATTGAAACCAGGGACTGGTTCCACCGATCTCTGATCCAAGTGAACCTAATTGATACCCCAGACCCACCAAAATACGATGCACCTCTCACTCCCCCGTCTGCATGTCTGCAATGCCAGACGGTATCCTCCGGCAGCAGTTTCTGCAGCACCTCCTGCACTTTCTGCTGCAGTAGCGGGAGCAGTAAGAGCTGCTACTGCCACGAAAAAGGTTCGTTTGAATCAGATACCAATGGGACCGTGGTTGGGGCTTATAGCCCCAAAAATAGGCCCCCGATGCCTCTGCCTGATTTTGAAGCTCACTCTACGACGAAGGTTCTCGAGTCTAACGTTCCCCTTGTTCCCCACGACCCCACCTTAGACACCCAACATCTCATGACGACGGGGGACAACGATACCCCATTGGGACGGCGTCAGAGGAAAGGATGGTCGAAAAGTCTCAGTCGACTCTCCCGGTCCTTGACTTGGACTTCAACCAAGTCCCCGTTACGAGGACGAAACTATGATGAAAACAGCAGCCACTTCCACAGTGACGATAACAACCATAACAGCAACAACTTCGAAGACAACAAAACGAACTCCAAGAACAACTATAGTGAAAACATAAAGAACAACAACCACAACTTTAATGTCCACGAAAACAACAAATTTAAAGACAAAAAAGCCGCATATTTCAATCCTGACGACAAGAACAACAGCAACAGCAAGCAGGCCTATATTTACGAGTCCAACAAGACCACTCGCCCAGACCCATTCAGGATCTGCACGTCCACAGCCCTTGAGAACAACAAAAAGTCCACAGTCTTTGAGAACAATAAGAACAAAACCAACAGCGACAAGCAGACCTCCAGGCCCGTCCCATTAGGGGAACTCAAGTCTCCTCAGCCCACACGTCCTCAACAAAGCCCCATCAGAGGAGACCTTCCCAGCCCCAAGACCCCTCCTCTGCCCCCCAGGGCACCGAGGCCCGTCCACTCGCCCGTCCCGGCACCACCCGTCAGTTTGACGACGTACGCTGACCACCTCGCCCGTCGCCTGGGCGGCAGTCCGTCCACGACGTCCCTTGTGGACGGGCGGCCGGGTGATGGACGGCTGGTGTACGGCAGATGGTGTGACCTCTGGGACGACAGCACCAGCTGCACGCAGATATGACGTGTGGACGTGACGTGTGGACGTGACTTGTGGACGTGACGTGTGGACGTGACGTGTGGACGTGACGTGTGGACGTGACGTGTGGACGTGACGTGTGGTCGACGACGTAAATGTAACGATAATAACGAAATTAAAATCATGGTCACCGGAATTAAATTATATTTAAATATTTTTTTAACGAATAACATCCAACAAATTTATTATATGCTACTACTCAACATAATGTGCTTCAAACAACTAAACTTATTTCTAGTTCCACCATGCCACAAATACGAGCATTCCAAATTTGACATGCCAACGTCGTAGCAATTGTATGTCAATTTTATTAATTAAATATTATACTATGATATAATTTAACGTATTGCTATTACTTTTGTAACAAGAGATGAATAATATGTGAAGCAGTTTTTTTCTTACTATCCTGCAGAGACGGTCGCTGAGCAAGAATATCTTGTGTGAACAGATCAGTGAATGTCTAATTTTGTGTTGTTATTGATTATAAAATTGGACAGAAAAAAAAACTCGTTAAATTATGAGCACATTTAGTCATGCTGGCATATACACTTGTGCCCGAAATTATTCATTCCCCTTCTGAAATATAATATAATTCCAATTTTAATGAAAAATAGAGATCATTTACAACGTATTCGTCTAGGAAGGGTTGTCATTATTATGTACAACAAATTTAATGCTAGAAAATATGTATATAATAACTTTCGATAGTAATTACTTTGAATTTTGTGAGTAACTAACCGTACAGAATTATTCGTGCCCTCTTATTCCAGATCATTTATCATAATATTTAAGAAGAACAATTAATGAAAATAGTAGTAGATACACAATAATTGTATTACAAAATTTGGTGTTACTAAGCATTATAATATTTTTTTCTGCAAAGTTTGAAAATATCATTTTTTCACAATTTAGGAAAAAGCTAAAATTTTGCTAAAAGTTTGAAGATGGCAAAGAAAAAAGAGCTTAGTAATGATCTCGGAAGCAAAATTATAAATTCCCCTAAAGAAGAGATGAGATATAAAGCAATATCTAAGAATTTTGATGTTCCTGCGTCTACAATACAGTGCTTAATAAAAAAATTCAAATAATTTATCACGATAGATAACCTGGTTGGTCGAGGAAGGAAAGGAAAAATCTCCCCTAGATGCGCTAGAAACATAATACGCTCCATTTGCAACAATTATAGAATGACTAGTAAGAAAATTCTATCAAATTTGGATGCTTTTGATTTGATATGAAGGTATCAAGACAAACATTGCAAAGAACAATGCGTCGTAACGGACTGAAGGGTTGTCGACCCAGGAAAGCCCCTTTGCTAACAGAAAAGCATGTGAAAGCACGCCAGAAGTTTCCTAAAACTCCTGTCGATTCCCAAACCTCATTTTTCTCCAAGCTTTAATTTGTGGAGAGATGAGACTAAAATTGAATTATTCGGGCATATGAATGTTGCTTACCCTTGGCGAAAAAAAGTGAGGCTCATAGTCCCAAGAAAACAATCCCTACAGCTAAACATGGCGGTGGGAATCTTATCTTTTGGGGTTCATTTTCTGCCAGGGGACCTTGAAGTCTGATCAAAGTAATTGGAATCGTGTAAAAAGAACAATATTTTGATATTATCAAAAATAACATCAAGCAGGATGCAGAAAGTTTTTTTCTTGGTCCTGATTGGATTCTTCAGCAGGATAATAATTCGAAGCACACATAGAAAATAGTCAAGAAGTGGTTCGAGGATTCTCATATCAATGTCACGGAATGGCCTAGTCAAATTCCTCATCTCAATACAATTGAGAATTTGTGGCGCGTACTGACAATAAAGATGAAAAAGAGACAACCTAAAAATTTGAAAGAATTGGCGCAGCATGACTTAGAAGAATGGACAAAACTTAGCGTCGATACATGCAGGTTCCTTGTTGACAATTACCCAAAGCGTTTACAACAAGTTATCACGAGTAAAAAGGCCATGATATTAACTGTTGATTCAGGGTACGAACAAATTTGGTCATGAGTCAGTTTTATATTTCCTTTGAATCTCTTTACAAAACTGAAAAATAATGTTTTTTGGTTTCTAAATGCATGCTATATAGTTCATAAATGGTTTACATCTGCTTTAAATATTTAGATAATTATTTTTTGGCCTATTTCTCGTAATTTGTCGAAATGACGTTAGGGTATGGATAATTTCGGGCACAAGTGTAACTATCGAAACGCCTAGATAAGCCGCCATCCTGCCAGCCATGCTGCCATAAGCCACATGCCACACTGCCAGCCATGCTGCCATAAGCCACATGCCACACTGCCAGCCATGCTGCTATAGGCCACATGCCACACGGCCAGCCATGCTGCCATAAGCCACATGCCACGGAACCTTAATTTTAAAGGGGCTGTGGGGGGGTATTGATGGCTACAGTTAATCTCGCCCACAAGGAGCGTCGAACTCTCGTTAATCTCGCCGAGTTCCTACTCAAAAACTGGCAGATTTTTAGCTGTGAAGTCTAGTGAATAACAGCCGTTCACTTGAACGATAACAGTTATTCACTGGGACGATAACAGCTGTTCACTGGAACGATAACAATTATTCGCTGAGACAATAACAGCTGTTCGCTGGAACGATAACAGCTGTTCGCTGGAACGATAACAGCTGTTCGCTGGAACGATAACAGCTGTTCACTTGAACGATAACAGCTGTTCACTTGAACGATAACAGCTGTTCACTTGAACGATAACAGCTGTTCACTTGAATGATAACAGCTGTTCACTTGAACGATAACAGCTGTTCACTGGAACGATAACAGTAATTCACTGGAACGATAACAGTTATTCATTGGAACGATAACAGTTATTCACTGGAACGATAACAGTTATTCACTGGAACGATAACAGTTATTCACTGGAACGATAACGCTTATTCATTGGGACGATAACAGTTATTCACTGGAACTATAACAGTTATTCACTGGAACGATAACAGTTATTCACTGGAACGATAACAGTTATTCACTGGAACGATGACAGTTGTTCATTGGAACGATAACAGTTATTCACTGGGACGATAACAGTTATTCACTGGAACGATAACAGTTATTCACTGGAACGAAAACAGCTGTTCACTGGAAACCTCTTGCATGTATTATGTATTTTCATGTATTTTATCTTTTAGAACTATAGAAAATTAATATTACCCAAAAAGTCGAAATTATGTTCAAAATAAAAAGCAATTTGTGCAAAAATTTCCGTTTAAAATCGCGGATATTCCGCGCGTAAGTCCGCGTCCGTCAGTCACAGCTCAGCTGTCGTCGCGAGAGGTTGTGTACGCGTGCCGGCGGCTCTCGCGGGTGAATGTTCTTTCTGAACTGTCTTTATTCTACAGCAGCTCCTAAGTCTAACTGAACTATTTATGTTCTGGCATATTAATATTATAATATAAATTAATTATTTGTATATCAATGTGTGTAGTTGATGTTAATGACCATATCAGCGTGAAGAATCAAATTGATGAGCAGAGTTGAGCTGGACGATCAGCTGTGCTGAGGCGGCGTGATACTGGCGTCCAATGGACAGAACGGTAAGGTGATTGGCTAATTAAGGCCAGGTGGTGTGAGTGATTGGCGAATTAAAGCCTCGTGGGTGTAAGTGATTTGCTGATCAAATTCATACAGTGTTGATGATTGGCTAATAAAATCCATGCGTTGTATATGATTGGCTAATAAAATCCACGCGTTGTATTTGATTGGCTAGTAAAATCCATGCGTTGTATTTGATTGGCTAGTAAAATCCATGCGTTGTATTTGATTGGCTAATAAAATCCATGCGCTGTATTTGATTGGCTAATAAAATCCATGCGCTGTATTTGATTGGCTAATAAAATCCATGCGCTGTATATGATTGGCTATTCAAATCCCCGTGATGGAGGTGATTGGATGAGCACATTCACTGGCCGTGAGTTCGCTGTTTGTTGTAGCCTAACTCAGACGAGAAATTGTTCAGCCTCGAGTGTAAGAAAGTTTCAAAAAATAAGTTCAAAACTTGGAACTTTCTCGCTCGCTTTTCTCAACTTAAGTTACAGTTGCGTGCGGACTGGGAGCCGCGCACCGCTGGCCGCGTATTAAGTTGAAGTTAAAATACGATGTGTTAAGTTATTTATTTACAGCCAAGTTACAAAGTTAAGTTGTATACATTCAGTTAAGTGGTTTTGATATAAGTCAAACTGAGATGCAACCTAAATTAAACTATCATTTTACTCATTGATAATTTTTTCAATAAATGATTATTGCGTTGAGTGCCTCCTACTTTTGACATTTGCGTCTTCACATGGCAGCATATTTTACTGATATCTCACAGAGTTTTCCACTGTAATGTAAAATTATTGTTTTTTAATGCGTTATTGATGTGTTAATGCTGCATTTACTCAACGAGATTGAAGATACTTACTCATGTTCGTTGTTGGAAAAGGTATTTTATTTGTGTCGTTATAGAGTGGTGGATGCAGGCAGTTTGGTGGATGATGTAGGTTGTAGGCCATGTGGAGGATGTAGGCCGTGTGATTTTAAATATTCGTGAGATTTTGGTTTAAATATTCGTGAGATATTGGTTTAAATATTCGTGAGATATTGGTTTAAATATTCGTGAAATATTGGTTTAAATATTCGTGAGATATTGTTTAAATATTCGTGAGATATTCTTTTAAATATCCGGGTTTGTAATATTGGTTTAAATATTCGTGACATATTGGTTAACGTATTCGCGATATATTGGCTTGGTCATTCGTGAGTTCTTGGATTACATATTCAAGAAAAGTAGTTTGTGTATTCGTAAGAAATTGGTTTACATATTCGCAAAATATTGGTTTGCATATGCGTGAAATATTAGGTATTAGATTGCATATTCGTAAAATATTAGTTTCTGCATGTGTGGTCAATTTGCATGCTTTCCTTTTCGGTGTAATTTTTTTACGAACCACAAATACGCTTCCTGGCAACCCTGTCTCGCCATCGGTGGCCATAGGACGGCCAAACACAGCTATCCGATGGCCG